CCAGGAAAAACCTGGACCGGACCGACACTCACCGACAGACCGGACACATCTCCACCGCGGAGCTCGCTCGCCGCGGTGCCAGCGTGCGCACTCCAAGCAGAGAAAAGAGTTTCCCCATATGGGCACTCAGAATTCGAATGAAAAAAGGAAAGTCAACAAAAGAACACCTCTTGCAAGCGCGCGGGCGCTGGAAACGTCGGGCGTCCGTCTCCTTTGTGTTTGCCCGATGTTTGGTCCAACGTCGCTGCAGTCATTCGACGTCGCTTTCAGGTGAGAGACGAGGAGCGTGGCGAGTGAGTTGCCAAGTCTTGAACCATGTCTTGAAAGATAAGGCCAGGAGAGGGCGATTTTGGCGCTAGGGTGGCTATCTGTGGGGCACCCTTCCGAGCTGCGGTCAAGGGGTATGCGGAATGCGTCATGGGGAGATGGTCCTCAGAATGCATGACCTCACCATGTGATGAGGGTGGCATGCGGAATGAAAATGGCTCCTGAATAGTGACGATGAATGTGATGATAGATGCGAACATATGCGGATGTGTTGGGTGGTTTTGGTTCGGGTGGACGCTTTTGGGCCGGGCAGGGTTTGCGGTTGCAGAGCTGCAGCTCGATCGAGCATGAGCTTGCGATGAAGTACTCGTATTTTGGGTTTGTCCGACAGTTTGTCCTAAAACCTGCAATGTAACAGTCGGTGAACAATTATAACTAATTATTCTTGAAGGCCTTTACTAACAATCATCATCCACTGTTATCTCTAACAGTCTAGGAACCAAATGATTAGTAAGAGGGGGAGCTCCCTTGAAGAAGCGCGAGATATCCTGCACCCAATTACTGGAAGCTAACTAGTAGCTAGTAGCGAACTTCTCCCTTACTTAATTCAGCAGGCGCCTACTTAAGTAGGTAAGGAAGCAGGGCCGCGGGCTAAAAAAGAATAGGATAGACCCAACTCATATCCAAAAAGGGATCCGGAGTTCAAAGAACTGGTGGATAAAGTTCATTCGGCGGTTCACGAGGATTGTGGGAGCAAGGTGCATAGTGCTGGGACAACTGGGATTCTTTCGAGAGATCAACGACTTGGTGATTTGGTATCCAGCGGAATTGCGGCTAAGAACAGGTCAGGAGTCGGTTAGGAGATACTAAGACGCCTATGCCTATGCAAGTTCAGTGTACGTGTCAGCTTTGGATACGTCATTCACACTGGCACCGCTGGCATAAAAGATCATAAATGGTGAGCGTTCTTTGGTGAGGTGTACCCAGTGAATTGGGCTACGCACCGCGACGAAGGGAAATTCTGATTTCGAGTTGTTGCATGGTTTGTGTTGTTTGGAATGTTTGATGATGGCAGCGTTGGACACCAAAAGAACATGAGAGTCGCTTTGCCCGTTGTTGGATGCAATCACCTTCTCAGCACGTTGACTGCCCTCTCCCGAACATAGCTACCACGTTGCGGATGGAAAGACGGACCTCAATCCACATGTCTAAAGCGATTGTTGTTGGTAGGGCAGAAACCAAAAGAAACATCGGCACGCGCCTTCGAGGAGGCAGGATCGTTCAACCAATTGAAAGATGCTGAAATCCACAAATTATTTGTACTTGCACCATGCTGTTTGGGTGTCCTGGCTGGAGATCCCAACACGCAGTGTAGGGTAGTCCATTGGACACCCAGACAGGATGACCCAAGTATACCATACAGGTCAATGACCTGATTTCACTGGAGTTGGTCATACATGGTCATACAAAAACACAACTCGTTTGGAGGTCAAAGAGCAGGTTGGGTCTTGGGTCCCTACTGGACGAACGTAGGGAGAAAGACTTGGCATATAAAGACTTGCCATCCAACTCCCGGTCACCACCTGCAACTTGGGAACCAACTCCCCATGGGTCAAGCATATGGCGGGCCCATCCTTTCCACCCGCAGGTGATCCCGGTGAAGTTGGCAGCTCTGCAACTCTTCCGGGACCAGCGAGTTGGGTGCGAACATCGGACGAACTGCACACGAACTGCCTTCGATCTTGGTGCTTGAGGTTAGCTGATTACGTTTAGGAATCTTATATTGCAATGAAGGGGTGGCCAGTTGTAGCTGCATGTCTGGCATGTTGATGCAATTTGCTATTGCGATGTGACACACAGATAAGTGAATTTTTGTGTTTGCTTCCTTCCTGAACCTTCCAGCAGTGCAGAATTCTTGCCTTTTCATCCATATAACTGGCCAAACAGCAGAAGTCTTGCGGAAGTTGGAAGAATCAGCTATGACACCTTCTGCAAAGCCGAAGTTGGTTTCCTTTGCAAAGCCGAACCTCCGAACTTCCCAGTCACAGGACTCTGGAAAGTTTGCCCCACGATTCCAAGGAGTTGGTGGATACGTTCGTAGCTTCTTGTTACTATAGTCGTAATGCCAGGAGCGCCCCGTTCGTAGCGTCCTGTTACTAGTAGCGATGCACCTTACTAGTAGCAGAGAAGTGGGCCCTTCAATTTGTCCTATTCTTTTTGCCGGGGCAAACCTTCGTATTTTTCTTCATGTCCCCAAACCTTCCGCCATGGAACGACTCGTGACCGGGCCGCCGGGCCACCTTGGGGAGGTGAACATGTGACCGGGCAGGACACCTTCGAAAACATTGATCCGGCCGTCACCGTTGAAGAGGCGACACCGAAGAGAGCTGACCGGTTGGGGGGAGGAAGAACGGGGGATGAAGAGCTGACAGCCTTGGCCACACCTTAAACCTCCTTAGGTGTTGAAGGTCTCGAAGATACTTAGGTAGGGTGATTCGGGGCTCGGAGCTTGCTTGAGGCAGTTGAGAGTTGCGCCAACAACTCTCCGTAAAACCGTCCGGATGATGGTTTGGAGGATTTTTGCTTGCATGTTGGACACTAGGAGCCACCCCCACAATCAACAAGTTATCATATGTTGATTGATATTGAGTGCGTGCTATGTTTTGGGTATTTGGCCTTTTGACTCACACGGGCTACCATGACATGGGCGACCAATCACTCGGTACCGAGGTGCAGCACGCGCTGGACGTGCTCATCGGCCCGGTGATGTCCTGCCTGGGCGACTCCAACGTGCGCTTGCACGCCGCGGGGCCCGGCGTTCGTTCGCGGCGGCTTCGTTCGTAGGATAAGAAGGGGAGAGAAGGGGAGAGAAGGGGTGGGAGGGGTCCTGGTTCAGATGGGTACGGACTCAGAGAATGCGTGTAGAAAGGAGGTGAATCAGAGTCAGAACATCCCGAAAAAGAGCTGGATTGAAAGGGTGGTACTTCGAGGTAGTCTTTAGAGCTATAGTCCTAGTTCTAGTGCTTGCACATGCTTGCACACCAAGCTTACACCATTTCATCGTCTTTTGGAGACTGCATCGAGACCGCAAAACCTGGTGATCTGCCCTCTGCCATTTCATCTTCGTCTTCGCCACTGCCCGCGGGGGCGGTCCGACACCTTTTTGGGGCCACCCGTTGGGCATGCTTTGCACTTGGATGCACTTGGCCGATCAACAGACCGACCGCGTCATTGCTGTGACAGGTCGACCGGTCTGCCCAAGCTTCATAAGCACTGAGAAAGCCTTTTCGACCACTGAGAAAAACCGTTTGAGACCAAGCACGCCACGCCACGCCGCTCTGGTGATTGGTTTCTTTTTCGTGACCGAACGGATTTTTCACTCTGAGGAGTCTGCGCAGAGCAACTTGGTCTTCGCCCGTCCCTGGGACTCAAACCGGTGGCTTTGGGAGAGATGACGGTGGAGGCTTGCCACAGAATGCCCAAACAACCCATGTATGGAAACAGCTTACAACCACCCCAGTGTATGCAAATCATCCATGAATGGGTAATTTGAACATGTTGGAACGGTTTTTTCACCGGTGGCCGTGGTTTGCCAGAAAACCTACCAGCACCTGACTAGTCACCTGACTAGCCCCGACTTCATACAGGCACGACCAGTGCCAACTGGTGTACGTGACATCACGAAGTCCAACGGACGGGGCGTTCGCAGATCACACCGGGAGCCGTTGATGCTGAACATGGGTTTCATGGTGGTGCGTCTAGCTGCTCCATCAGCAGAACACCGTTTCCTGGGTGGATGCATTGGTGCCGTTCTTCATGGGAATGGTACATGTTTGACCCTTCTAGTTGGGCCACTCTAGTTGGTAGTTTGGAGCTTTTTGTTCACCTTCACTGCACAACCGGCCACAACGCCAAGGATACCTCCTGGGCGACAAGCTCCTACATCGCCTACGAGCCTTTCTGGAGCCGAAGCGTGCTGCCGACCGTCCGTGCATCGTTCGATCCATCGTTCGATCTGCGAGCGCTGAAGGCGTTGCGAGCGCGGTTTGGAAGTTCCATGACTCGCGGCTTCGCGTGACACCCACCACGGGTGGTGGCGCTTCGCGTCCCCACGACACACTGTGGTTGGCTTCCATGACTCGGTACCGGAGACACGTGGCTTCAAAGCTGAGCCAGAGTCCGACAGAACCCTTGTGACAGCAACGGTATGTCTTTTTCTGAGCTGTTGGTCCTAATATGTCCAAAAGGCTCACCTTACGACAGGCGTATACACGCCGCGAAACGAACATCGAATGCCTGGAATTTGCATGGACTTGGTGCCAACGGTGCCAACAGTTGTAGTAACAGCAGCACCTGAAGCAGAGAAGGAAATGCATTCGAACATATTGGAACCAGTTTGTATTCGCATGGAATGGGCCACCCACTAAAACCTTGCCAAATAGGACAAACGGACAAGGTGAATTTCTGCTTCAGCCCGGCAGAAAGAAAATGGGGTTCTCCAAAGTTCTTATTTTGCAATGTGCTCCAAGTCTTGATTTAGACCCCCCAAATCAATAGAACAGTGTATATAAATCCTCACTCAAAATGTGTTGGGGTCCACTGTGGTGCATTTGCAGCAATTAGCAGGACATAGCAAGACCTTGTTCTCGAGTTTGGACCCGGCATTCTGAACCAAGTACTTGTCATCCTGCAAGGATGATGCTTCTGTGGGATTCTTTTTCGCTTCAGCCAAACCTCATTGACCTGGAAGCTAGGGCAGTAGCTCGTCGTCCGCTCCACTTGCCGCGCGATGGCGCGGCTATGGCCAGCGCTGGTTCTGGCATTGCTGGTGCTAAGAGGACGGGAACCAGCCTCACAGGAAGGGAAGGGAATCCCCCCGACAGATTCTCTTCAGGTCTCCATTTATAGATCAAGGGCCATGTCGAAGAATCAAGATCGGATGTACTGATGTACCGCAGATGTCTTTCATCCCTCACTTCATGTTGATCTTTAAAAAAAACGATTGGAGTCTAGCCTGGGTGGCTGTTAAGGGGGATTTTGTTTCCCCCAGCTACTCAGCAACAGACTCTACTCAACAGACTGAGCCTGCCAGCTTGTCTGGTCAACTCAACCTGTGATTGATCAGTGACATGCCTTCCCCCAGCTTCTCAACCTGCCAGCTTTTCAACTCAACCTGAGTCCTCCCAGTTTTTTCTGACTTAGTCCGGAAATGAGGACGTGAGTCGTTCCAAATTTTCACGACGTTTAAAATCAATTTTCATTTCATTTCTCGGTTTATTTATTTTGAAAAGTCCAGGCATTAAGTTTAATAATAGTTGGGTGCAAGTTAGTTTCCCGTCGTGATTTACCCAAGTCTTGACATGGATAAATCACGACGGGAATAGGAAGCTTTTGATTTCTCAGTCATTGTTGTCACCGCAGCTGTCTTTGTCATTGTCACCGCAGCTGTCCTTGTCAGTCATTGTCACCGCAGCCGTCCTTGCCTGGTGCCAGTCACCGTCATTTTGTGCTTGGACCTCAGCTACATCCCCTCTTGGCCATCATTGGCATCCATTAAGTATTGATGATCAGGCCGGATGGATCTACACGAAGCCATCGAGAAGGTCGAAAAGTGTGTGGTCAGCTTGGTCAGGACGCACCCGTTGGACGCACGCATTGGACACACACATTCCTTAATTCGACACCTCCAGGAAGAAAATCAACGTGACCTTGGATACCTCGATCCAGCTGGTGGAGTCCATGATGAAGCGAGACATCACCGAAGATGAGGACAATTGTCATGTATAATTTATTATGTTAGTTTATTATTTTTGAAATTGTCACTGACCTCCATGTACTGCTCTGTTCGTCTCTGACCTCAATTGCCAGGCCATGCAGGTGTTCCAGACTTTGAGCATCTCCATGAAACTCATTGAGAAGCCTCCTCAGGCCAGATATTCATTCCTGTCATTCCCGTCAGTTGATGTCATGGAATTCCAATGTCAGGGCGAAGACCAGGACCCTCCAGGACCAGGACTGCAAAACAAGCAGAACGGTTACGCTGAAGCTTGCTAAGTGGATGTGACAATAATAATACAGTGATTATATAGTTTCATTTGACAGGAGTTACGGTCGCGGCGCTTTGCAAAGAGTGTCAGTGACTGAATAATAACAAGCGTTCTGTAAGTTGCCATGGCCAGATTCCATCAGAGCCACCTTGATGCCAAGGCGTGTTCAACATAGCCGATTCTGACGAGCACGACTGTTCTGCCCCGTCCTCCTCCTCACAAAGGCCGGCTTGACTCTTCGGCCACTTGCTGTCATTGACTCTGGAGTGCCTTGATTTTGTCATTGTCATTCACCACATGCCAAAATGTTTGAGGCTGAACGATGTTTGGCAATGACATTCAAGACATTCAGTCATTCAAGCAGTGCAAGTGGCACTCAATGACATTTTAATGACACACACTGACTGTTCTTCCACGATGAACTAGCCTTTTTGCACAGTTCCTCCGAGTGAAGCCATGTCGTCAACGCCGGCACAGCGAGTTATCATTTTTGGATGGGCTAGGAAACCCAAGCCCCGATACGACAAGAAGGCTCAGGCGTGAATATCGTCATCATTGAGTTTTTGTATGTTTCAATTTAATTGTTTGCGTTTGTTTGAGACCAACTTTCAACAAAGCAGCATCAGCATCATCTGATGAGGTTGATGTGATCCTTGATTGCGGATGGAGAATCTCGAGGCCACATCATTACTGGAAAAAGTTCAAGGATCACTGGACCACAATCGACATAGACCTCGCAGAACACCTCTTCCACACCAAAGATGGCCACTATTGGGGCAGCCGTCACAGCGGCTGCGCCCATCACGAAACGCAGCGTGGAGTGACTGGGCTTAACGATCTTAAACGCACGTTGAAATTGAAAGAAATTGTCCTGGGAGTGTTCTTGCCCGTGGCTTCAGCTTGTGTTGCAGGTCTACAGCCACCGACGATGCAAAGATGTCGTGCAGATGATCGTGAACTTATTCGACGAGAATATCCTGAGGATCTTCCTTTCATGCAATGCTGGGTATCATCGCACTGGAGCCTTTGTGATGCTGATCGCAAGCATCTTGTGGGCGCTTTGGACACTGTCAGTGTCGTCATTGTCAGTCATTGTCAACTTTGTGCTGTTACTGTTTGTGATCAGATTGTCACTTCTTTGGCGACCCGTTAGACAAGCCGTTGAGGAAACCGGAGTGTGGGTATGCCCTGTCATCGTCTCCCTCTCAGATAGTTGGACCCATGACATCCAGGACTGTGAGAGCTTCTTGTCACCTTCCAGTGACTCTTTTCAGACACGGTACCTTGAAGGCAAAATTTAATGTCTTAAAACCAGACATAGGTTGAGTTGACAGCTGACGGGTTGAGAGTTGTCTAGCCAAGGCAAATGGCATTTTATCGGAACGCCGTGCTCAGGGTCATTGGCCGGAACCGGGACCTGCAAAATGAAGCACGCTACGGGTACTGGTTGGGGGCATGCCTTGATAACTTCTGGAAAGAAAACACCTGCAAGCCTTGGCCGTCGCTTGGCTTGTGTGCAGTTGAAGTTGTCTGAACTTCTTTGCGAACTTCATTGCCATGTAATCATAACAAAATGCAGCTAAGGTTGGTTCGTGACGATGCTGACAAGACAGAGGACAAGGCTGAGGTTTATGAGGTCGAGTCAGATGATGATGACCAGCCAGTGCCACCGTCTAAGGCACGACGAGTACAGGCGGCATCCACCAGTTCCACCAGCCCACCAGTTGCGTTCCACCGTGGAGAGCTCACCCACCTCCGCCTCAAGTTTCCCCACACATCGGCGATGAGGAGGCTGTCTTGACATCCCACAATATGCCAAATGGCCTTCGCACCATCCTGCCCTCAGGTTGCATTCGTCGTGACAATGACAGTATCATAATATTTATGACATAATTTTATGACAGTCGGCGTAATAACAATTACACTTGCCCCAAAAAATAGGCGCGTCAGTGACTCATTCAATGTCAACTAAGGCACGAGGTTTTTGCAGACGCACAGCTTGATGAGACTGGGCCGGCCTTACGCATTGTCGCGACGCTTCCAGTGGCCCGGCAACTAAAGTTTGCCGCGGCGTGCTTTCGTCAGTTGAAATATGGCATATATGGCGACAGGTTTCACAAATACATGTCGAACTGTATCTCCTGCGATGTCACCTGGTTCCTCGGCAATCCTCAGCCCGTGGGTTGAAAAATGCGGTGCCTCATTGCTCGTTAATTGACATTGATTTATTTTGTCATTGTCTTGATTTGTTATTGTTCTCAGCTTCAAATTCTCATTGACTTGTCATTGTCTCCATTTGCTCTTCATTAGAATGTTGCTTGTTTTGTGCAAGTGTTTGTTGCAATCAATGATTCAAAGCACGGTAGGCCAAGCGGAGATCCTTGACAACAAGGCTGGCAGGCGTCCCAGGAAATGAATGCTTGGAGTGAACCGACGATCTTGCCAGGCCATCAGATTCGTCTGCCCGCCTTTTGGACTAGCCGAGCCGCTAGCCCAGGAGAACTTCAGTCATGAGTTTTTGCTACAGGAGAGTCAATGTCAAGGGTATGCAGCCTTTATTATGTCAATTTATGCATATTTATGCTCAAGTCAGTGACGTGCGGCGGGGGGGCACAGACTGATCAGCGTTTTGTTTCTGAAGCACGGGCGGCGGAAACCATGCCCGCCATCTTGATGTCCGATTGCGCCGGATTGGAGCCTTTGAAAGAGCTTTGCAGGTGTGAGTTGGGTTTGAGACACAACGAAAATATGATTTAGTATAAGAGTCCTTGCCAGTCAGTCACCCAGTCGCATTGCGTCAAAGGGTTCTTAGCGTCTCTCCTGCCAGGAAAGCAAACGTGCCATCAACCTTGGCCTATGCCTCGGAATCGGAGCCAGCTCTCCGCAACCGCATCGCGAACTTGCACCCGAAAGCCTTTGTTTCCGATGATGCCAGGAAACACCTGCCAGGACATGTTCTGAAGAAGGTCAAGGGCCAGACAAACCCCGTTGTGTACTCGGCAGGTGCGCCCTGCCAACCCTATAGCAAGATAGGCAGACGTGGAGGAGAAAGCGATGAACGAAGCGATCTACAAATGACCGTTCCTTGCCACAACTTAACTTAATGAAACAATTGAAATTGACGATTGGTCAGCGCCGTGTCGCTGCTGTAAGCTTGCCTAGGCTGCCAATAGGATCGCAAAGATCCAGCCGGATGCCTTCTTGCTCGAGCAGGTGCCCGACATTGTCAAGCACAAGAAGTTCTTTGGCAACGTCTTGGCCAAGTAACTCGACTGAACCACTCAGTCCTATTTAAATTCATTCGTAATGTCTAGTCATTGATTACCAAAAGTCTGAGGCTGCGGATGCCTGGCTACACCGTGAAGCACAAGGACTTTGCGTCCAGTTAGTTGCAGTTGTTGGGTCACGTTGTTGAGTCCGTCAGTGATTTTCCTAAGTTGAGCTGCGTCAGGTCTTGAATTCTCTTTGTCACGGAATGGCCACTGAGCGGAAGAGACTTTGGATTGTGGGTTACAAGACCAAGAAAGCTAAACGTCATTGACCCAGCTTGCCTAAGAACTTGGCCAGTCCAGTCAATTGGCTCCTTTTTTGATGAGGCGCCTTCAAATTCCCGCTGCCCTCCAAGAAGAAAGTGTCCGTGCGGCAGCTTATTGCAAAGCTGCTTGTCACTGACCATTAGGTCCGACGAGTCTAGCATGAGTTAAAACCATCAAACATCTGCGCCTAGCCATCCACACAGTCATTTGCTCAGGAACAGCCCGGATGCGCGCAAGGGTCCTCCCACTTGCAAA